TTATTTCAATTAGGATGAAAATACTCGGAAGAGAAGGTATGAAATGTTCATGACCAAATATCCCCAGAAATTTAATACACAAACCAAACGCAATGGGTAGTTTGACTTCATAATGTGAACGTCTCTTATTTCAGGGTCAGTGAGGAGTATGTTAAGCTGTCATTATCTGAGGGTGATCTGCCTGTGGGGATATACACAGGACCTGTACAGTACGCAGCCTGGAGAGACATGAGACACATCATTAGCCCAGGTAAATATCTCCCATTCTCAGACTGAAGGTGTATGAAGAGTCTTAGGATACTAACAGATTAACAGTAACGATCCTCGCATTTAATATTGTGCGTTATCACATCTTCACGGCGTCTGAAAGCTCTTCACCGCATATACCGGAAACTGAATTGACTGTAGACTTTGTGAAAGAGATATGACAGAGATATGACTGCCAATCATGGCAGTCGATTGTGCGCAGCCCTGTCCCACAAACAGTCATTGATTAAGTGACCTGATTCTTCCATTTATTTAAAATAAAATCTGACTCGATTATTATCTGCACCAAAAACTATCCGCCAATTGCCTTACGACCAGAATGCGAGCTACTGGTAAACAGAGGCAAGCAGAGGCGTGTATTGTAAGGAAACCTGCCTGAGGTTACACCTGCCCAGGAATCGAAACTGGAACCTCGCTTTGCGAGGCGAGTGCTCTAACCACGACTCTACAGGACTGCAGTGTTGTTAATGAACAGCTCAGCGCTCTTTACACTCGCAGTACCGGGTTATGGCAGTTGTCGCTGTGTGAACGTTTTCACCAACAGCGAGACGCCAGTCACACTGTCCCCAGCGCCCGCCTTCGCTCCTGCAGACCCCCCCCCACCGCTCCGTGACCCCCTCACTCCACTTTGTGTTATTTTTCTCTCTCTCTCTCTCTCTCTCTCTCTCAGCTCCGGCCGCTCTGACTCTGGATCCTGACACAGCCCATCCCGAGCTCATCCTGTCTGAGGACCGGACCAGTGTGAGACTCGGAGGCAAACTGCAGCAGCTCCTCGACACCCCGAAGAGGTTTAGTTACCATCCAGTTGTCCTGGGGTCTGAGGGCTTCACATCAGGGAGACATTACTGGGAGGTGCAGGTGGGCAACAAGACTGCGTGGAGTGTGGGAGTGACCAGAGAGTCTGTCAACAGGAAACAATCAATCACTTGGTCACCAGAGGGTGGGGTCTGGGGGGTGTGGCTGATGGACGGGGACTATGTGGCTCTGACCTCCCCTCCCACCCCCCTGCCCCTGACAGTGGGACCCGGGAAAATCGGGGTTTACCTGGACTATGAGGGGGGACAGGTGTCATTTTACAACGCTGACAACATGTCTCATCTCCACACTTCCACCCAAACTTTCACTGAGAAACTTTATCCTTACCTGTGTCCCTGTGTTAATGACGACGGGAAAAACTCGGAGCCGCTGAGAATGTGCCAGTTATAACACATTGACAGTGATGTGGTTTTACCTCGCTTTCCGTGTGATTCACTGACTGTTGTTTAAGGGGATACAGGGGGGTGGGGGCGGATGAGGGTGGGGGGGGTGAATTTCGGGAGAAGATCGCAAGCTCTGCCATGATTGTGAGTCCAGAAGAGTATGAGAAAGCAGAAAGTGAACTGACTGTATGTTTTGCGGGTGAAACACGGCAGCCAATTGCATATACAGCATCCCACACAGTTGTGGATAAAGTGATCAAATTTTTTTTGGAAGGAATTATTACCCCCTCGGAACAGCCACCTGCCAATCTGTAGCTCGTGTCTCAGTGAAATACCTCGGGGACCAGCTCTCTGATCTATAGACTCTGAGCTTCAAGTTACTGTCAGTTTGTGTCTGGATCGTACCCAGTGTGTAAACTTTGCTCACAATAAAGTGTCTGATACAACTTCAATCCAGGAGATCTTTCCTCCGGTCCCCCACACCCGGACCCACACGAGCTGGGCTTACTCCGCCTTTGATCCAGATTAAAGTCGGCTCAAAACACAAAATACTGCAGATGCTGGAAATCTGGAACAATAATAATAATAATAATAATAATCCTTGCATTTGATAGAGCGCTTTTCACGTCGGGAGGACGTCCCAAAGCGCTTCACAGAACAAGAACAAGAACAGAAGTCGCTGGGAACACTCAGCGGGTCAGGCAGCATCTGCGGAGAAAGGAAAGTGAGTCAACATTTCGGGTCCGCGACCCTTCCGTCAAAACTGGGGGCATGTTGGGAGGGAGGTGATCGGCAAATACGTCGCCCAATCCGCGTTTGGTCTCCCCAGTGTAGAGGAGATCACATCATGAGCAGCGAATGCTGTAAACTACATTGGTGGGAGTACATGTAAATCACTGTCTCATTTGAACTCTTGGTTCGGGCCCCTGGACAATAGTAATGGGGGGAGGAGGTGAAAGGCACGAGGTATTGCGTGGGAAGGTGCCGGGGGAGGAGGATAACTGTTGGTGGTGATGGAGGAATGAACCAGGGAGTCACGGAGGGAATGGTGCCTTCGGAATGAGAGGGAAGGGGAGGGAAAGATATGCTTAGTGGTTGGATTAAGATAGAGGTGCCGGAAATGGCGAAGAATTATTGTTGGGATGTTGAGGCCGGTGGGATGGAAAGTGAGGACCAGGGAGGCCCTATCGCGGTTCTGGGAAGATGGGGAAGGAGTGAGGGCAGAGTTGCGGGAAATAGGGCGGACATGATCAAGGGCCCTGCCCACCACAGTGGATGGGAATCCTCGGTTGAGGAAAGAGGAAGACATTTCGGCTGCTCTGGTGTGAAAGGTGGGATCGTCAGAGCAGATGCGGAGGAGGCGGAGGACCTGGAAGAAAGGGAATGGAGTCCTTACAGGTGGCGGGGTGGGAGGAGGTGTAATCCAGGTAACTGAGGGAGTTGGTGGGCTTGTAAAAGGTATTGGTTGATAATCTATGCCACAAGATGGAAATGCTGAAGTCAAGGAAGGGAAAAACTGGGGATGGACCATGTGAAGGTTATGGATGGTTGGAAGGTGGAAGCGAAATTGGTGAATTTTTCCAGGTCACTGCGAGAGCAGGAAGTAGCCCCAACACAGTCGTCGATGTATAAACGTCAGCAGTAACCTCCCCAATGCACACTTGGCTCATTCCCTCCTTGGGCCCTTCTCGAACCTCAAAGCTTATTTACTTGTGTGCCTCTCACCCACCCCACCCCTCCCCTCCCACCCAAACCTGCTGGGCTGGACAATCCTCATCCCTCTCTCCGCCCCATTATCTGCAGCTAAACCTTCAGCGCCGTCTTGTGAACTATCTCTCCCTAATACCCTCAGGCTCCCTCATCCCCTATCTGTTCCTCAGCGACCCGCTCATTCCCTTTACTTGACAGGCACCGACCGGGCTCCTTCACGTCCCCGTACTGTTCAAGATCATGTGGCACTGTTCGAAAAGAGAAAGGAGTTTCTCTCCTATTGCCTTAGCCAAGACCCAAATAGAATTTCTCATTCATTTCATTACTGTTTGTGGGGCGTGAGGCGTTTCACCTACAAAATATAGTACCACTCACTACACCTTATAGTGTATCCTGTGAAGCGCCTTGAGACGTCTCAACGATGTGATAAGGCACTATATATATATTATATCAAATGTAAAGGTTATTATTATGTTATTCCGCGCAATTGTGCTCCAAGTTCATCCTCAAAACAGTCACTACAATTCACAGTAAATTCTGTGAAGTTTTTTTTGGGATGTCCTCCTGACGTGAAACTAAATGCAAAGGTTATTGTTATTAGCAACTATTTTTCTCCAAGTATCTCACGCTCTTTCGCTCTAACTTGCTTCCTTCCTCTCAACCTATAGCTTACAATAGGTTTAAACACCTCAACCTCCCTGGGCTCTCCCTCAGACTCACCAAACCAGTGCGCAACCTCGGCATCCGGTTCGACCAACTGTCCTTCTTCCCCCACAACCGGTCCCTGACCAGGACTGTGCTCTTCCACCTCCGCCACATTGCCCATCTCCGACCATACCTTACCCCAAATGCACCCAATGCCCTCGTGCATGCACTTGTCATCTGCTTGGAGCACTCCTCACTGGTCTCCCCAGCTCCACCATTCACAAGATCCGGCTCATTCAAAACTCTGCCGTCCGCATACTGACCCAGAACAAACTCAGTGCCCAAATCTCACCCGTACTGGCCCAGGCTCCGCTGGCTCCCCATCACCGAACGGATCGACTTCAAGAGCCTCACACTTGTGTTCAAATCCATTCACTCCCTGGCACCTCCCTACATCTCCGACCTCCTCACTCCCCACTCCCACCGCCTGGCGCCTCCGCTCGACTGGCACCGGCCTCCTGCTCATCCCTCGCATCCTCTCGTCCCACCATCGGAGGTTGAGCTTTCAGCCACTACATCCCAGAACTCTGGGACACTTTTCCTCAATCCCTCTGCCTTGCCCCCTCTTTCACGTCCCGCCTGAAAACATTCCTTTTGACCTGTACCCTGCGTGCAAGTTGTTGTTGTTGTTGTTGTACATATCTCTTACCACAAACCCAAAACTGCAGACAGTAAAAACATGAACGCTTACCTTTCTGACCAGCAGAAATAATAATAATCATTATCCTTGTATTGTATATGACACCCTATCAAGTCTTTCGAGACATCTCAAAGCACTGCACAGAATATGCTGCAATAATAATCATAATCCTTGCACTTGATAGAGCGCTTTTCGCGTCTTCTCGACGTCTCAAAGCGCTTCACAGAATATACCGTAAAGTGAGTTGACTGTATATTTGTGGGTGTAAAGTGAATTGACTGTGTATTTTGTGAAACCAGACTATGTGCTAAGTTGCAAGGCTGTTAGAATTGTTTCCCAGGCTCAGAGAATTCAGTCACTTGGCACACACACTCAATGGTACAGTATTTTGCCGTTCCTCTGTCCAACGTCTGCCTCAGAGAGACCTAATGCACATAAGTGGGACTTGCGGATATTTGGCTAGATGGAGTTTCTTCCGCATGGATAAAGCTTATCATTACAAATACACGTTAGGAGCACCGCAGACTCCGATCGCATTGTGTACCTCAGATGACAGAGGTTCATCTGCTTTTTTCCTTTCTCTCGATATATCCGGCTCTGACAAAGCCCTCGAGTACATCACAGAGAGTCTGTAATGTCACCTTTTTAACGAAAGTAAAATACACTGTTCAACTTTTCCTATTGTGGGTTGCTGCCTCTCAAATTCAGAGGAAGTGTGTGTGTGTGGGTGTGGGTGTTGGGGGAGGGGTTAGTGGGCGATGGTGGGGGTGAAATGTACCAAGAAGATAAAATATTCTCTCTTCAGCCTGTGCCGAATATTCTCCAGATTTAGATGAGCAGGGTGTGGTCTCCACCAGAGATTTTGCCCTCCAAATACACAGAAAAGATTTCATCGGAAAGCTAAGGCAGGTTGAATCAGGAAGTGCTCAGAAATGTCTTCAAGAGGCCAGAAGCAGAAGTGGACGGAGGAGTTAAACTGTCCCATCTGTTTGGAGATCTTTACCGAGCCAGTTACCCTGAAGTGTGGCCACAACTTCTGCCGCTTCTGTATCACGCATAGCTGGAGCGAGCAGCTGAAAGGAACCTGTCCAGAATGTCGAGAGGTGAATTCAGGAAATCAGCTGAAACCAAATCGAACGCTAGTAAATCTGTCAAATGAAGCTCGGGAACTGAAATCACCGCAGAACAAAGAGATGCGTGACTGTGATAAACATTCGGAAGAACTGAAGCTGTTCTGTGAAACTGATAAGAAATTGATCTGCATCATGTGTCTTATTGATGCCGATGGACAGAGCCACAAATCCCACGACTTAATGCTGATAGAGAAAGCGGCTGAGATCTACAAGGTAACAAGGAGCGGACTTTATAATGTGACTACTTCTCTCTTGTTGTTGCAGTGAGGCGTTTTAAAAAAAGATTTTGTTTTCTTTTGTTTCATCGATATTCTGGTTGCAGGACAAACTAAAATCGTCCTTTGATCCGGTTATCAAAAGAAACGAGGCTGTTCTGCTCACTGAATCGGAGCAAAAAGAGAAGATTTCAGCGCTGAAAGTAAGTTGTGACAATTATCAGTTGCGTTTCCCTTATTTACCGGGTGATGTCTGGGCTCTGTCGTGTTCCTCTTTCTGTAAGTGCCCGTGGTGATGTCTGATACCTTGTTCTGCAGGAGCAGGTGAGCAGGCTGGCGAAGCATGTTACGGCTGAGTTTGGTAAGATGCACCAGAGCCTCTATGACAGAGAGCAGCGTGTAATCCGAGAGCTCAGACAGCGAGAGCAGGAGATTTTGCAACGAATGGAGAAAAATCTGGGAGAGATTCGGGGCAGTTTAGTTTCCCTTCAACAAAAATTCTCAGAGTTAAAGAAACAGATGGAAAAGGACGCATTCACCTTTCTGCGGGTAAAGAAGTTAACATTGCTCTAAGTTTCTGCAAGCAGACGCTTTAGTTCAGTAAACTACTCACAGTCTGGAGCAGAAAATCAAAGTCTGACTGTTAAATAGCTCAGTAAATACATTAACTAGTATAACCAGACCTTTGTAAGAAGATCTCACTTTATGTTCTGCCTATAACTCAGAACAGCACTTTGTAGTTGCTCTGTATCTGAACCTTCTGGCTTTGGAGACAACTGGCTTTCTGGCTTTGAAAAAGCTTTCTGGCATTGAGTGACTAATATTCTTGTAATAGTTAAACTGTGCGCTGTAGAATTCTATTCTCGGTATCTAAGTTTGCAAGTTTGTGTCTCAGTCTGAGCTCAGATCTGTCTGTGTTTTATTTCAATTAGGATGAAAATACTCGGAAGAGAAGGTATGAAATGTTCATGACCAAATATCCCCAGAAATTTAATACACAAACCAAACGCAATGGGTAGTTTGACTTCATAATGTGAACGTCTCTTATTTCAGGGTCAGTGAGGAGTATGTTAAGCTGTCATTATCTGAGGGTGATCTGCCTGTGGGGATATACACAGGACCTGTACAGTACGCAGCCTGGAGAGACATGAGACACATCATTAGCCCAGGTAAATATCTCCCATTCTCAGACTGAAGGTGTATGAAGAGTCTTAGGATACTAACAGATTAACAGTAACGATCCTCGCATTTAATATTGTGCGTTATCACATCTTCACGGCGTCTGAAAGCTCTTCACCGCATATACCGGAAACTGAATTGACTGTAGACTTTGTGAAAGAGATATGACAGAGATATGACTGCCAATCATGGCAGTCGATTGTGCGCAGCCCTGGCCCACAAACAGTCATTGATTAAGTGACCTGATTCTTCCATTTATTTAAAATAAAATCTGACTCGATTATTATCTGCACCAAAAACTATCCGCCAATTGCCTTACGACCAGAATGCGAGCTACTGGTAAACAGAGGCAAGCAGAGGCGTGTATTGTAAGGAAACCTGCCTGAGGTTACACCCTGCCCAGGAATCGAAACTGGAACCTCGCTTTGCGAGGCGAGTGCTCTAACCACGACTCTACAGGACTGCAGTGTTGTTAATGAACAGCTCAGCGCTCTTTACACTCGCAGTACCGGGTTATGGCAGTTGTCGCTGTGTGAACGTTTTCACCAACAGCGAGACGCCAGTCACACTGTCCCAGCGCCCGCCTTCGCTCCTGCAGACCCCCCCCCCACCGCTCCGTGACCCCCTCACTCCACTTTGTGTTATTTTTCTTTCTCTCTCTCTCTCTCTCTCACAGTTCCGGCCGCTCTGACTCTGGATCCTGACACAGCCCATCCCGAGCTCATCCTGTCTGAGGACCGGACCAGTGTGAGACTCGGAGGCAAACTGCAGCAGCTCCTCGACACCCCGAAGAGGTTTAGTTACCATCCAGTTGTCCTGGGGTCTGAGGGCTTCACATCAGGGAGACATTACTGGGAGGTGCAGGTGGGCAACAAGACTGAGTGGAGCGTGGGAGTGGTGAGGGAGTCTGTCAACAGGAAAGAATCAATTACATTGGCACCAGAGGGCGGAATCTGGGGTGTGTGGCTGCATAATGGGGCCTATTGGGCTCTGACCTCCCCTCCCACCCGCCTGCCCCTGACAGTGAGACCCGGGAAGGTCGGGGTGTACCTGGACTATGAGGGGGGACAGGTGTCATTTTACAACGCTGACAACATATCCCATCTCCACACTTTCACCCACACTTTCGCTGAGACAGTTTATCCTCTCTTCTACACCGGTTTGAATAACAACAAAAAGAACTCGGAGCCACTGAGAATCTGCCGGTCATTAACACATTAACAGTGGCGTGGCTGTACCTCAGATTCTGTGCGATTCACTGCCTGTCGTTTACAGGAATTCGGGATGGGTGCAGGTGGAGTGGGCGCTTTCCTATCTTTCAGACAATCTGAAATCCCTCACTCAATCCGTCCTTTGACCATGCCTTCAGCTCCCCTCTCGACTCTCTTCCTCCTCCTCGCTCCCTCCCTTCCCTCCCCTCACCCTGACCATTTCCCCCCTCCTCTCTCCTCCTCTCCCTTCCTCCCCTCACCCTGACCATTTCCCCCCTGCTCGGGTCATGACCCAACTGTGCAGCGCCTTGGGACGTCCTCCTGACGTGAAAGGCGCTCTATAAGTGGAATCTTGTTGTTGTTGTTGTCCTCATTTCCACTCTAACCCGTGTGCGCGTCCCAGTGGTATCTCCACGGGACCGGCTCTCTAATCTGTAGCTGTTTGTTTGTCTCTGTTTAAACATTTTCCCCTTCAGGACAGAACCCCCTCCTGCAGCACCAGAGGGTGAATGGGCCGTGGCCAGACCGGGCAGGTCTCTGGCTGCAGGTCTCTGGCTGTTGAGATCAGTTGGTGTCTGGATTGTATCCAACGTGTGAAAGGGTTGGAATAAAGTGGACCTAAATGGGCCAGAGTGTGCATTGGAGAAACCTTTGGGAGTTTAACCAGCGGTTATAATCCATAGGGATCTGACAGTAAAAAAGACGAGTGTGATTTGGGTTTTGAATCTGAATAAAAGAAGTGTTTGATTTGTTGAGAACGTTCTCTGACTGTATTCCATGAAGCCAGTGGGCACCCGACTGACAGGATAACCACAGAATGAAATGGTAATAACAATACTTCCATTTGACATTATCACATCATTAAGTTCATTAAGTAGTGACTGAAAGGATAGAGAGGGATTAAAGGGATCCGGGGATGAGGCGGGCGGACGGAGTGGGGTTGAGAAGATCAGCCGCGGTCGTATCGAATGGCGGGGGGTCAGGCTCGAGGGGCCGAATGGCCTACTCCTGGTTATAATAATAATAATAATAATAATAATCCTTGCATTTGACGTAGCGCTGTTCACGTCGCAGGACACACACCGTGAAGCGAACTGACCGCATATATCTGCGGGCGCGCGCGGCGGCGGCGGCGGCCGATGGCGCACAGCGACCGTCTGTCAACCCACAGACGCTCGTGGGTTGAAAATGGCCAATTTATTATTGTTTGGGGGTTTTTTTTTGGAGAGGGATCGTTTATTAGGGCTATGTGTGTGTGTGTGTGTGTGTGGAGGAAGGAAGGAAGGAAACGCGCCCGAGCTTCGGCCCTGACCCGCCGGGGATCGAACCCGGGTCTCTCGCTCGCCAGGCGAGCGCTCTTGACCATTGGGCTGACCGACCCCACCACACCAGTGCAGCCACGGCGATGGCGCCTGTAACATGGGAGGGCGCTGGGCGGCGAAGCGCCAAGTGCGCAGACTCGGACCGCCAGCCCGCGCGACCCGCCCACTTGCCCTTATATGGCGAGAGACCGCGTGCGAATAGGCCCCGCCCTCCCTCCCTCCCTCCCTACCGCCGCCGCGTCCCTATTGGCCACCCGACGCGGCGGGGGGGCGGGGCGTATGCAAAGTAAGGGGGTGGGGCAACCACGTGAGCGAGGGGAAGCCCCGCGCGAGGGTGCGGCGACCGTTAAGCGGCTCCCGATTGTGAGGCCCCGAGGAGCGCGCGCATAGCCCCCCGGCTCGCGAGCGGGAGGGCGCCTGCGCGGCGGCGGCGGCGTCGTCCGAGGCTCGTCTCGTCTCGGGTGAGACCGCGCGCGTGCTGAGCAGCCTCGCGGGCGGCCCGACCGGGGGTGGGGGGTGGCGAGCGGGAGAGCGAGAGGCAGCGACGAGCGCGGATCTGACCGTTACTCAGCAGCAGCAGCAGCAGCGACGACGACGACGACGAGGTCTCTCAGAGTCGGGCGGCGGCGTCCGGCCGGCGCGAGGCGGGGTGAGACGCGCCTGCGCAGTTACGTCGGTCGAAGTCCTTATACGGGGAGGAGGTGGGCGGGGCGTATGCAAATCCTCCGAGCCGGAGTGGCGGGGAGGGGGGGGGAGGGGGAGGGGCGGGAAGGATGTGACGAGAAGCTCCGCGAGATGTGAGCGAGCGCAAGCGGGCGTGCTGAGGTCCCGACTGCGCGTGCGCGTCTCGCCGCCTCGCGCTCGCTCGCTCGCTCTCCCGGCCCCTCCCCCCTCCTCGCTCGCTCTTCTCCCGTGTGCGCACGCGCGTTTCCGAGGCCGCGGGGGGGGGGGCGAGGGAGGGAGGAGCCGCGCGTGCGCGCCGGCGCCCCTCCCTCCCGCTCCTTCCGTGTGCGCAGGCGCGTCTCCTCAGCTCACTGACGTCAACAACGACGACGACAACAACTTGGATTTTACACCGCTTGACCCTCACCGCTGGGTCCGGGAGCGCTTGACAGTCGGGGGCGGAGGGTGGGGGGGTCTGACCCCGAGCCGGGGGGGGGAGGGGGGGTGGGGGAGGGGGGGGGGTGAGGAGGAGGGTGACCATAAGCACAATCGATAAGGAAGGTCTTGGGGTGGGGGGGGGGGGCGGGGGATGGAGGGAGGTGGGGGAGGGGGGTGTCACGGGGGACCGAGGCAGAGGGATTGAGGGAGAGAGCCCCAGGGTTTCGGGGCAGTGGCGGCCGAAGGCACGGCCGCCGACGGTGGAGTGGAGGGCGCGAGGGACAAGTCAGTCGAGCGGAGGCAGCGGGTAGTGGGTCGGCGGGGGGGGAGGGGGGGTGTTGGGGGGGTAAGCAGGTCGGAGAGATAAGTGGGGTACCAGGCGTGAAGGGATCCGAAAACGAGCGAGAGGATCATAGACCCAAGGCCACCACACCCCCACACCGCCCCTCCCGCCCCCCCCCGCCCCCCCCCCCCCCCCCCCGCCCGCCACACCACCCATCGTAAAACGACACTGTAAAATTCATTCAGAAACCCTGAAAAATTACGAGCCTTAGTTACGCGCCACAACGACCTGACAAAGGCAAAGGTTAATGACAAGAATAACAACAACATGGAGTCCTGTCGCACAGTGGTTATTCCCTCGGCTCACAAGCGAGAGGACATAAGAAGATAAGAATTTGCTCAGCAATAGAAGACCAAGGTCCATCTAATCGCCCTCCACCCTTCCTGGTTGTCATTTAGCACGTCATGTCCCAAACTATATACTGCATCCCCAGATATTATTTTCTGGGACCCAGGTTCCGTTCCCGGACGGGTGCAAAACCTTAGGCGAGTTTCCTTACTCTACGCGCAGCAATGTTTCAGTCACAAAATAAACAGTAAACTGCTGGTTAGACTCCAGTAATTAGCCCAACGCACACTCTGGGGTCCCCAAGCCTCAGCTCTCGCCAACCTTACATAATTTATTTATGTAATGTCTGTGGGACACTGCTGTGCGCAATCGGCCGCCGCATTTCGGCCACAAATGTACAGTCAATTCACTTTACGGTATATTCTGCGAAGCGCTTGTGAGACGTCTGGAAGACCTGAAAAGTGCTATATCAAACGCAAGGATTATTATTATTATTATTATAATTAGGTGAGCAGGATACGTTCCTCCAGTGAGAGGTTGCTCATTCCATTCCATCTCTGGAATTTCCACGGGTCGGTGGGCTTGGAGGCTCTGGAGGTGATGGGTTTCCGTGTGTGTGTCAGACACCCGGCTGGCCTTAAAAAGAATCTCCCTCGGAAACGCCTCCCGCGCGCCCACCTGCTCAGGTGCTAAAGCGCCTGAATTCATTCCCTGGAGTTTCTGCTGCTGAATTCCGCTTGTGACTAACTGTGGGCTGGAAGCTGGAAATGTCACAAGCTGACACTGTAGTTCGGTTATATATACCAACCGCGGTTGCATCGATTATTCATTCA